AGGACCCTGGAGAACAGAAAGTCAGTCAGTATACATTTTGCAAACAAGAGGGTCATTGGAGAGGGGAATGTCCCTAAATGCTTCCAAGGGAAGTCACATGTAGTCAGCAAGACTCTGTCCCAATCTGGATGATGGCACAACTGGTAGAGAAAGACAGAAAGAGTCAAAAGGCTCCTCAAAAGTGCCTAAAAAGTAACCCCTGAGGAGTCTCAGCTGGACTTAACAAAAGGAAGGAAAGAGGACAACACAGGGGGCCCACAATTATGTAATCAGTCTTGAACACCCCATGGAAAGTATAACCAGAGACAAATGTACTAATATGGAGTGGAAGAAAAGTCAAAGAACAGTTATGCAAGAATAATTAAAAGGGAAAGACAGTGGCCCTTTAAAAGGTGACTTGAGACGTGCACTTGTGTCAGCCCTCCCAAAAGTTAGTAAGGCCAATATGTTTTGGAGATGACATTCTTATGCATGATTGCCTGACACAAAAGCCATGAACCTCCACATCGAAGGTAGAACTCATAGCTTAGGCAAGGGCCCTCCATTTAGACAAAACCAAGAAAATGACTATTCTTTTCTGAATAAGAGTGTGTGTGTGTTTGTGTTTGTGTGTGTGTGTATTTAGTAGTCTATACTCACAGAACTATGAAAAAGGAAAGAGACACCCTCCAATCTGAAGATTGAACACCTTCAGACTTTGACTCTTATATTCTGCTTTATAGCTTGTAATGGCACTTCTACTCTTAGGCTTAGACATCTAACCCTTTTTTGCCTCAATTGTAATTCAAAAGCTAGTAATCACTGGGCCAGGAAAACTAGAAAATCAGACTTGCTGACACCTTGATTCCCTCAAGGTTGAGGAATGGCCAAAAGATAGAGTCGTAACAAAGACATAAGACTCTACTTTTGCCTTCAAATATCGAATGGGTGGCTAAGAGCAGGATTAGAGCCTTGGCATCTCTGCCTCCGTTCTGCATCTGTCCCCTTCACTCCAGGTCACCTTGGATTCCTGAAATGAGGTCTGATCCAATGAACACTGTATGATAAACGGAAGCTACCAGCAGCGACAGCAAGGTCACCTGCTTTGACCTGGCTATGCAGACCCCACACACAAACACACACCATTGCCCTCATTCCCCTTTTCTATAAAACCTCAAAGTCTATTAGCTGTTGAAGACAGGGCTTTGGATACAGGTCCCCTTGTCCTTCTGTCTTCCTGGTGTAACTACACTGATTAAAGTGAGGAGGAGGAGGAAAAAGAGGAGGAGGAGTGGGGGGAGGAGGAGGAGCAGCAGCCAAAAGGAAAATTAGAAAGTACTTTGAACCGAATGAAAATGAACCTATATATAACACCAACATTTGTGGAATTCAGCTAACGCAGTATTTAGAGGCAAATTTATAACACAAAGCACCTATATTACACAGGAGGAAAAGCCTCTCTCAAATTACCTTAAAGCTCCAAAACTAACAGTAAATTAATCTGAAAAATAATCATAAGAAATTAAATAATATAGACCAGGTTATGTTAATATTAAAGAGATAATAAGGAAATATTATAGCCAAATTTCAAAAAATCAACAAATTTACGGGAAGAATACAAATTTCCAAAGACACCTCAAAAAGATATAGAATGCCTAAAGAGCCATATATCCTAAGAGAAATTGAATTTTAGTTTAGAGTTTCCTCATCAAACAAACAAACAAAAACAAAAATAGGTAGATCAGGTCTTAAACATTTGAGAAATAATACCTCTTCTATACAAACTCCATAGAAAAACTGACAAGGATGGAATACTCCACTCATCCTTTATCTGTGTTGGTATTACTCTCATACCAACAGCAGATAAAGTCCCTGCTATGGTTCAGATGTGGTTTGTCCCCATAGGTTCATGGTTTGGTGTTTGGTCCTAGGGTAGTGATGTTGGGAGGTGAGGGGCCTGTAAGAGGTAGGACCTAGTGGGAAGTGATTCAGAATCATCTGTCTTTACTGAAAGCTGTTTTGAGGATGTGCCCACCCAAAGCCCAAAGGTAAAACCTGTGGCAAGTAACAGAACAAAATGACAACCAACATGCTGCAATATTTCAGAGTCTGAGAAAGGTGACCCTGACATTCATGACATAAACTCCCTGTTACTGTCACACCGTGTTACCATCACATGTGCAGAAATGCAGCTCAAGAACAAAAGGGTTCAAAATCAGGAATTCAATCGTGTCTCTAACTTGGTTCCATGGCTGAGAGTACCATGTCTGTACTGTGACCATACTATAGGCAAACTTCTTCTCAAAGTCTGTGATGGCTATTGCACAATGGGAATTATCCTTGGATTAAGTATTTATTGGGTAGACAAATAAGTTAACTGTGTTTCCATGGTGATTATCTACTGAGATCAAAGAAAATAACAACACTGGAACCAAAAGCATCTCAATAGTTAAAGATGAAGAGGTTCAGGATGTCATCACAATGGTAAAACCCATCTATTTATGCAGGTTTGAACAACCAATCTGGTCTTCATAAATAATTAACCCACCTAGTCTTTGGCCTGAAAATTGGGTAATAGTTTGAGGAACTCTGATGTCTGTACAACATATTTAAATGTCCAGAGGGCAAACAGATAAAGTCTAGAAAGTTCTGTGTTTTGCTGGGATTATGGGAAAGCAAAGTAGCATTTATTGTAACATATCTATGGAAAAAAAAAATGTGTCACTATGTTCCATTTAGCAACCTTACCCAATGACACACATTCATGAAGGCCACAGACTCACCCAGAATGCATTTGTGCCCTGAAGCAGATAGGAGTTGTGGTCAAATGGAGAATCACATGACAGGGTCAAATACTGTATATTTTTTAAAAAATTGTACTTAATAACCAATATTTTAATTTAATATTTAAAACCGAGAAAAGGCCATGCCAACCCAGATGAGAAAACTATGTCTCCCTCGGGGAGTATCTCCCAGCTGGAAGTCACAGCTATGGCCTCAGTTTTACTCACTTCAATTATGCAGCCAACTGGGCATCATAGTAAACAACTTTATAAACCCTCTTTCTTGGTGTCCCAGTTGTCTCAGTCTTCCTGATTCATGCTAAATCCATTCTTCTCCAGCTCTGGGTAGGTATCTGGTATTTGGCCCCAACTCTGAGGTGAGGCCCATTCAGTCCTGGCCCTGGGCTGAGGATATTCCCATGTGGCCTCAGACACTGCTCATATAAGAAGATCTCAAACCAGAGGCTGATGGCAGGGCTGATGGCAGGGCTAGTGGGTGTTAGGAGCCAGACTGCTGGATTTTGCTGGACAGCTGGCAGAGCAGAATAAATATCAGCAGCAAAACCCATCAAAAAGAGGCTCCTCCCATTACCTGGCAAGCTTGGGCAAACTGCAGCTGGTCTCCTTTCTAAGAATTGGTATGTGCCAGCACCTGAAACCATTACCCACCACCAGGGAGGTTGACCTAGAGACTCCCAACCAATAGGTCCCCAGCATCCTGCTTCCAGTTGTACTGGGACAATGGGGAGCATCAGCAGGTGCAGGTTACTCCAATAGATTCATAACCTACAGCCAAGGGACAAAGTCACCTGCAGAAACCAAGCCAGGAGGGATCCAGCATGCCTTCCTCCTTCACTCCAGTCTGGGGCCAGTGTGTCTACAGGGTAATTTTGGTTATTCTTGGAAGCCCAGATGGAGGTTCTCACCCCCATTTTATGGCTGGAAAAAGGCGAGTATGGTCCATCACTGGTTGTGACATTGCCAGAATGTGGGACAGGGACTACCTAATGCCAGGCCCAGCCCTTATTACCCCTCCTGCTACTGAGCAGGGTTTTTGCCCTCCACTGTGTAGCCTGCTGCTACTCAGTCTCAGGAATGAGAGGACAAACCAAAAAGCTCTCCTGCCAAGGAGATATGTCAGAGCTGGTCCCACTGCCACAAGACACCTGGGCACAATCAGGTTTTCCATGTCCACAGTGAGCCCTCTGCTTCAGCCACTTAGGACTGAAAGACCCTGACATTCTCTTCTAAGGACCGTGCTTTCCCATGAGTAATCACACCTCCTGGGCAACACTACTCTGAGGTATAAATGAAATCAGGTAGTTCCAACAGCCAAGAGCTATTCTTGATATATCAGAATAAGAAGACTGCTTTTGGTAAAGCTAAGATTCATCAAGCCTTCATTCCCCACATTCAGGTGAAGAAAATTAGGTGGAGCAATTAGCCCAGAGCAAGACAGTCTGCAGATGGGATATGAACCCGGGTAACCTAATCCTGACTATTCAAATGCCTCATATCCCAGAGGCCTGGGGAGCAACAGAGCAATTGGGGGCCCAGGCACAGAGAGAGATGCATTCACATTAGCACCAGGTGCTGCCCTGGTCCCACCACAGACATAGGTAAGCCCTTGTGTCTCTGAACTTAGCTACACAGCATGGGCTCAGGTAAAGATCTGACAGTTGGCATCTGTCTCACATCTGAACAGATTTCAAGAAATTGTGATTCCCCACTTGGTAACCAGAAGGTTAAGGTCCAAAGCCAGCTCATACCACTCCTTCTTGGGATCCCTCCATAAGGGGTCCTCACGCGTCTCCTGTCAGAATTTCCCAGGATGCTTGTCAAAAATATAGATTCCCAGTTCCCACCCACAGAGCCACTCAATATGGAGTGGGTGGAGTGAGATTCTTCATTCCCTTATTTCCCAATAACTCTGATGGGACTTGCAATCATCATCCAGACCCCACAGAGTCCAAGGCCCCTCTACCTAGGATGGGGAGCTCACTGCCTCATAAAGCAGCCATTCCGACATTATTATCTTGAACACTCTTCCTACAGCCTTCCATATAGTCATTCCATGGGGATGGTCCCTAATTCGCAAGCCCCTGGCACAGGTCTCTTCTAGAACCTGGTCCTTCCATACTGCTGAGTCACATAGCCAATGAATGTGTCAGCCAGCTGCCCCAGTTGCTGAAGGATCCCCATCCCACACCCCCAGGAAGGAGAGAGGGCTTATCTTGCCTGTGCTGCCCAGAGGTAGTCCAGCCGCAGCCTCACGTCCACCTGCCTGGCGTGCAGGGCCAGCGTGCACGAGAACAGCAGGATGGCCACGATTGGCTCGTAGCTGCGCCCAGAGACACCACCGCCCCTGGGGGAAGGTGAGGAAGAAACCCCAGTCAATGTAGAGCTTCCAGGCAAGACGTGGCCAGCAAACCCTGGAGCAGGGCAGAGAGTGGTCCTCTGGTGGTGATGCCCACAAACAGCTTGCTGGGGCTGACCCAGGCCAAGACCTCCTTCTCAACAGGAAGTCTGATGCCTTGCTAGAACCTGGGCTGAAGAGGAGAAATGGAAAAGCCGTGGAACTAAAAATTTTGCATAGACTTGGTCCTCATTAATTTGCTAATTGGAAGAGGCTATATGTAGCTGTACACACAGATTCCACCAACAGCACCCCACCCGGGGCCTTTTCCTTGAGGCAACCACACTCACTCGGCCTTGGTGTATCCGCTGAGCTCCAGAACAAGGATGTAGGATGTGGTGAGCCCAGACAGCAGGATCATCTTTGGCAAGGAGGACACCCGCAGGAATATGGCTAGTGGGAGGGTACCCACCAGGCAGCAGAGCAGGGCGTGATGTGCAGACTCACAGGGCAAGGCAGGCAGCACAGTGCGCCGGCCCCCAGCCGCAAGGACCACCAGGGAGCTGTTGGACTGGGAGCTCCAGGCCCAGGGTAGGCAGCCCACCTGGGAAGTGAGGGACATAGGGATTTAGGAAAGGCCAGGAAGCAGCCAGCATTCTCTCAGAACATTCAGTCAGGTATCCCAGTCTCCCAGCTCTCCATGCCTTCTACCACAACCATCCCCCCGTGTCACCAGCCAGACCTCAACCATCCTGCTGCCCACAGCCTGCAAAGGCTGCAGGGGAAGGGGCTAAGTAGGACCTAGAGGCACCATCCCTCCCTGCACCCCAAGCCTGGCATCTCTATCCTGTGACTCCTGCCCCAGCTCCCTCTTGTTACTACTATCTTGGCTTCATCTTGTTAGTCCTGCCCCAGTTCCATCCTGTTTCTTCTGCCCCCCTCCATCTGTTACTCCTGCCCTGTCCCCTCCTGTCATTCCTCCCTGCTCCCTCCAGTTCTCTTGCCCCAGTGCTTTTCAAAAGTTATAATGGATGCTTACCACACATCCTTGGGCTACAGAATAGATTAAGACCACTATGAATATGCACAAGACGGTACGAATCTGAATGGTCAGGCACCCTGGAAAACACTGAACAAGAAAACATCATTTTAAAAATATCATCTTATTAAAAAGCAGATTCATGTGCATAATAAATAGTCCACATGAAACAGAATGCAAAGAATGGTCCGCATGTCCCTACACCCTCACCTGTTCATCCCCCACACAGATTTCTTGGCTGTTTTCATATACTTCTTTCCCAGATGAAGAACCCACCAAAGTTTTTAAAATCTATAATTCTTTAAATTAAAAAGGGTAATATCACCTTCCTTCTGCCAGGCAATGTGACTTTGATTGGCATTAAAATGGAGTAGAATAATTGACATTTTCATTATATGCATTCTCCTATTTTAGTAATGTCAAGAATTTCCACTCATTTGTCTTCTTTTATGGCTTTTAAGTGACTTTACCACATTCTTTGTGTAGGTTTTATATAATTCTTAGAAGTTCATAGGACTTTTATTTTAAATGCAAATACAATTGAAATATTCAATAAATGTTTTCAAGCATAAAAGTAAAAAGTCCTTTTACACTCACATTCCTGAAAATAAAAAATACACACCAAAATAAATACCCATAGCATCTTATGGGAAACAACACCAGCACCAACAGCAGGCACCTGGTAGGACATCCTTGAAGATCTGCAAATTATTCCTGCAATCGGGAGTATTTTTCCCCACTGGGCAGCTAAGGAAAAGCTGATACAAACACCTCCAAGCCCAGGATCATGAATTCTGGGGATGAGGAAAGAGCAGTTTCCCAATGCATATAGCTGGCAGGATATGAATTCAGGCCCCAATTTTTGGTTACTGATCTTTAACATGGTCCTCCTTAGGCTGCTTCCCTAGCTCTGGCCATGGCAGAACTCCACATGGTTAGGAACATGGCCAGAGCCACTGGCAGCCCCCAACTTCCAGGCCATTAACCACCCCCAGTCCCTGGAACAGGATTTTGGAACAAGGCTACTATCCTCTGCAGATAACAGCTCTCCTTTTAAGAACAGTTCTTGACCCAAAGAAATGTTCTTTTAAGTTCTTGACTTAAAAGATGGGCCACCAAGTTACCACGTGATCTGAACTGCTCATCAAAAGCGTGTGTTATCTGACCCACCAAGCCACAAAGTTGGGCCTGTGCAGCAGCACTCCATCACCAAATGGAAGCAATCTTTACATAATTGGGCCTGATCAGGCCCTGAAGACACAATTAAGCTAGGCAAAAGAATTGGCCCAAATGTCCAAGGTCCCCTCTCCTGTTGCAATGCCTCCTCTCTCCCAACTGTGGCCCCATGGGGAGTCCCTGTTATCATCTGACAGAAACAACAAAGATTCAGGCCTGGTTTACAGAAGGTTTTGCATGATATGCAGGCACCACCTGAAAGTGGACAACTACAGCACTACAGGTCCTCTCAGGATATCACTGAAAGCAACGATGAAGGGAAATCCTCCCACTGGTAGAACTCAGGGCAGTACATCTGGGTCAGATATGCAATTATACACTGATTCATGGACTGGGACCAACAGTGTGGCTAGATAGACAGGGACTTGAAAGGAACAGGATTGAATGCTAATGAGAAGGAAATCTGGGGCAGAGGTATATGGAATGACCTCTCTAAGTGTGAAAGAGAAATGAATTCTTACCAAAAAGTGACTTCAGGGGGATTTTAATAATCAGGGGGATTGAATGACCTTTTCTTTAGATACCAGTCAACCTCTTTCCCCAGTGTTATGGTTTAGATAAGTATCTCCAAAAAGCTCTTGTGTGGAATAATGCAAGAATGTTCAGAAGTGAAATGATTACATTATGAAAGCTATGACCTAATCAGTGGATTAATACAATGATATGGCTTATCTGGGTGATAACTTTAGGCATACAGAGCATGGCTGGAGGAAGTAAGTCACTGGGGGTATGACTTCAGGGCTTATATTTTGTCCCAGGCCAGCAGTGTGCTCTCTCTCTACATCCTGGCGGTCATGAACTGAGCAGCCAGCTCTTCTCAGCCATGCCTTTCTGCAATTTGTTCTGCCTTGCCTCTAACCCAAAGCTAAAGAGTCAGCCAATCATGGACTGAGATCATGATCCAAAATAAACTTCTTCCTCTAAGTCATTCTTGTCAGGTATTTTGGTCACAGAAACACAAAAGCTAAGTGAAACAGTAATTGGTACTGAGAGTAGGGTCAATGTTGTGAGTAATCTGACCATGCCATTCAGAAGTTTTGGTGCCATTTGAAGTTTGTGGGAGGAATTTTGAAAAGTTTAAAGATATAAGCTGGAAAAGCTTTAGAATATTGTAAGCAGGGCTTAATGAGTGATTTCTGGTAGAAGCTCAAAAGACCAGAAAAGTATAAGTAAAACTGTGGCTAAAGAAGTTGTGGTTAAAGCGATTATAGCCACGAAAGAAATGCTAAATACTTCACCCAGAGACAATAGAAAAGATGACTTCAGGGCATTTCAGGAACTCGCAAGACCACCCCCCATCTCAGGTTAAAGGATGGAAAAGTAAAAATTCCTTTGAGAAAAATGGGGCACCCTGCTTGTATAGGGGGGCCTAGGAAGTTGTTTCACCCTGCTCAGCTGCTCAGGTACTCAGAGGCTGCTGCAGCCATGATTCTAGGAAGCCTGGGTACTGCTCAAGATGGTGGCCAATCTTGGCGTCATCCATGTGGTGCTGGTTCTGCAGGAATGCAGGATACTGGAGTTAAGAGGCCATGGAGGTTTCTACCAAGATTTCAAAAGAAGGTATGGGAGGCCAGACAAAGTGTAGTAGGTTCCAAATCCATGCAGACAGCTCCTGGGAGGGTGATATAGAAGGAAGCTGAAGCTATAGGAGAGGCCCCAAAATTAAGAGATGTCAGTACGATGGAACTACTACCAAGGAAAGCTGCAGGAATAAGCTAACAGAGGTCATGAGGGCTGCAACCATCAAGGACATAGGAGTAGAGTTACACAAACACTTTGGAAAGAACATCACAATACCATGTGCCCCAGATGCTGGACATGAAGCTATAGAACTCATTTGCCCATTGGATTTCAGCATTGCTTTAATCCCATCCCTACTTTCTATGTCTTTATTTATCCCTTTTGAAATGGAAATGTTTACTAGCCATTAGATATGGATATATGTAACCTGTTTTTGATTTTTATAGGGACTCACAGCTAAGAGTTTGCCTTGAGATTTGAATGATAATTTGGACTTGGGCTTTTGGGTAATGCTAGAACTGTTAAGACTATGGGAACTCTTGGAAGTTAACTAAATATATTTTGCATTGTGAGATGGACATGAGCTTTAGGGGACCAGGGGCAGAATGTTATTATTTAGATATAAGGTAACCACCAGGGCTCATGTGAGACAATGCAAAAATGTCCAAAGATGATATGGTTAGATTATAAGAGCTGTTGTCTAATCAATGGATTTAATCACTTAATGGATTAACTTGAAAGGACTACTATACTGCGTGGTGAGTATAGACAGGTAAGGTGTAGCCAGAGGAAGTAGGTCACTGGGGAAAGCCTCTGGGGTTTCTACTTTGTCCCTGGCAAGTGGATCTCACTGTCTGCATCCTGGCTGTCATGAACTGAACAGCTCTCCTCCAACAATGATGGACTTGGGCTTTTGAGTAATGCTATGATGTTCATTATCTTTCTGCAATGATGTTCTTTATCACCTTGGGCCAGTGTTGGGGATGCAAATCAAGTCAAGATGGCGCCTGGCAGTTTGCCAGGAGGAGTGGTTTGTGAAGCAATGCCAGGGAGCCATTAAGATGGTGAGGATTCTTTATTGGCTGACTGCTGTATCTAGATGATGTTAATTGAGTCAAGTTGTGTGTAAACAGTAGGTATATATACCTCTGCTGTCCCACTACAAAGCGGTTCCGCTACCTTAGGAGTGCTACTTTGAGTTCTCGCTCAGTTCCCACTTTGTTCACTTGCAATAAAGTAGTTCCTGCTTCAACCTTCAAGTTGCTTATCACCTCTCGGTTATTTTGCCCAGCCGGACTGCTGCAGGCCAGAGCTATGAAGTCTGCTGACCATGGACTGAACCAAAATAAACTTCCTCCTCTAAGTTGTTCTTGTTGGGTCTTTTGGTCACAGTGATGAAAAACTGACTAAAATATCGTATCAAACAGTCAGTGCTTCACTGCAAGCTAGTTAGTGCAGGGCCATGAAAATGACCATGCAAGCAGAAACCATATAAATATAACTTTAATAATCAATGGGAAGAATTATGATTCCCCAAAACCCTTTAAAAATTTGCCAAAAACAGTTTTTTAAAACTCCTCTAGGTTATAAATATATGGAGAAAATTTTTAAATTAATAAAATGAATTTTATTTAGTATATTTGCGATTGGCATAATTCCTAAAAGTCCCCAAGGTTTCTCAGTTAAATCTGGGCCAGAGACTATGATGAATGAGAATGTCCATGATCATGTGATATTTGTGGTAAAAGGGACTCTAAAGCTGTAATTAAGCTTAATAATAAGATAATTCTTTATCAGATAGGAGTACTTGCTGTACCTAATCTAATCACATGAGGCCTTTCTTTGCTGTGCACATTCCTTTTAGTTTGATGTAATTTCATTTGTCTATTTTCCCTTTTGTTTCATGTGTTTTTAAAGCTCTGTGGGAAAAAAAGCATTGTCCACATGAAAGCCATGGAGCTTTTCCTCTATGACAATGAATAAAGTGAAGAAATAACCCATACTTTGGGAGATAATGTCTGCAAACATTGCATCTGATAAGGGAATAATATCCAAAATATATAAGTATTGAGACAACTCAATAGCAGGAAAAAAACCCCAAATAATTCAATTTAAAATGGGCAAAAGGGCCTTAATACACATTTCTCAAATGAAGACAAAGATCACTGATCATCAGAGAAATGCAAATTTAAACCACA